TGCATGCCCAATGTTTATGAGTCTGATACCCTTACCTTTGACTTCAGCAAAAGTAGTATCAATTAATACAGACATTCAAAAGAGAAATCAAAAGAATACATGTGAAACAGAAAGCAAATATAAAAATGTGATTACAGGGAAATACTATACTTCTAAACATATCTAATGAATATATAGACACAAAGTTTGTAAACAGTAATGGCTAGTATAGATAACTGTTCAGAAGACATCACAAACAGACAGAAAAAAATAAAGACAAAACTGGCAAATCAAAAGAAAATTCAACATCTGGATCACGGTGGTCCAAATTTAGCACAGAAAGAAAACACTTACAATTTACAAGTCATGGAATATGAAACTGGCAATCATATTTGGCAAAAAACAACAACTTATAAGGCTATTACTTATAAGAAAGAGACAATGAAAGCCTATGATATGGTAAGCAAAAATGAAGTTACTGATATTAACTATTATCATTCCTTACTATCATAGTAAGCAATGACAATAGGCCAGAAAAAAACAAAGTAAATGGTCTATATTCTTGCACACTAAATGGATGCTTCCATAAAACTTGAATGTTTACCTATGAAAAAAAAAATATATATATATATGTCCTATATGTGCTTTCAATGCAAAACAAATCAGTGCATCGGTAACTATGAAGATATGTATAATGAATAGGTTTGTTGTAGGTATAAGAATTGATAGCATAAGAGGGGATATGAGACTAAAAAATGATACTGCATTAAAGCAAACTGTAGCATAAAACACGAAAATAAATATGTTTGCAATTACAAATGGCTATCAAATTAGTTCTAATACAGTAGCTAATATCAGCAGGAATTGACAGTGTTAATTTCCAGTTGCCCTTTCACTTTTTAAAGCAATTATCCTCTTATTCCATTATCAAACCAGCACATACCCAGTTTCCCAAGAAGGGATGTATTATGTAGATAAAGTTAATAATGATAAACTTACTCAAACTGCAAACTCTTTATTCCCGCACTCAGATCAAAAAGAGTCAAAGCAATTCCTATGAAACAGGTTGTTTATAACTTAGAAAATTATCAGAATTGAAATAGTTTATATTTTATCACCTACTTTATTAAAAGAAATCATAAACTTAAAGAACATGACTTCAAGTCTATCTTAAATTTAAAAGAATAGAAAAAAAACAAGGGATATTGTCCTTTAAACTCAAGCACATAAAATATATATATAAAAAAGGGGAAAGCAGTCAAGTATAATTTGAATTGAGGTATATACACAAAAGAATATCATATCAAGAGACAGAAAATTAACTGACCCAATTATCAGGCATTGGTGAAAAACATGATCCAGAGAAATTTACAAAAACTATGGGAAAAAATAAAAATAACGTAAAAGACTGAAAAGGAGAAGGAACACCGATATAGTCTTATCAAGAGAAATGGCATTGTCATGATGAAAATAAGGTAAACAGAGACTAGAGTTTGGTATTCCAAAGAATAGTATTTTTCTAAAAGAAACAAAATATTCAATAAAAAAGGAAAAAAAAGTAGTAAACCAAAACATCTATAAAATAAAAATAATAAAAAACAAGGAAGAAAAACTGTCCAAATATAGAACAAATAATAAAAAATAATAATAATAATAAGAATGTGACTTTCAAAAAATTAATAACTAAAAATTAATAATACCATCAACAACAATAAATAAAACAAAGTTACTAATTATATCATACTTCTAAAAAATATATATATAAACAAACAGTGTACCAAACAGAAATATAAAAAATAAAGAATTTTTGCTACATAATCTCATCAAATAAATAAGCCTACTGACCCCAAACATATATACACATACACTGAATGCATGACATAAAAAACACTAATACTGAGAAATATAATTTTGGTTTAGGCACTTTTACATTCATCATTATCAAACTATGATACCAACAGTAACATCACATAAGAAGCACCATCACTTATCACAATGTTAAATTCCTTTTAGATTACAAAGTAAAGAATATCTAGTTAGAGACATAACTTTTTATAAATAAGTGATATTAATCAATTAAAAACTTCTGAGAAACTTTTATTTCTTCTTTTAAAAATAAATTCAGATATACTATGATGTTATTGTGAATGGATGAAATTTTTCATTGATTAATTTTCCTTTCTGTCATCTTGCAGCTTTTCTGACTACCATAGCACACAAAAAGAACATATTCTGAGGAACTTTAATTTTTCTTTTAAAAATAAAATCATATGATGATGTTATTGTGAATGGAAGAAATTTTTCATTAATCAATTTTCATTTCTGACATCTTGCAACTTTTATTTTTTTTTCTTTTAAAAATAAATTCAGATATATTATGATGTTATTGTGAATAGATGAAACTTTTAATTCATTTTCATTTCTGTCATCTTGCAGCTTTTCCGACTACTATAGCACACAAAAAGAACACATTCTGATCATAAACTTGTTGCAAGTGATTTTTATACCACTTAGAGCTGCAAACACTTTATTCTCTTCTACTGCTCTAGCATGACAAAGACCCACCAACAACCACGAAAATGGTGTCTGAAAGGGTGGGGGTTTGATTACTTTACCCTTAATACTAAAGAGTATTACTAGCACTGACTGATTTATAAGCTGCAGTCAAAGTCCATAATAATACCAGCACTATGTCATATTCTCGAACTGGCAGCACAAAAGGATAAGACCAATTATCTAATGGTAAGATTGTGATGCAACTTAATCATTAACTAATACATGTGATAGCTATCACATAATTACCTCTCTCTGTTATCCACCATGCAGAATTGTGGAACCAAGTGATAACCTTGGGATATAATCAAATTGCTACAAGCAGGCAGACCTTGCCAGAAGGTACAAAATCTTTGATTCTATAAGAAAAAAATGATATCCATAAAAAAATTAGCTGCATGAATGTGACACTCTATATGGTCTATAGCTCTGATAGAGCCCTTGACAATATGGAAATAGAAAAAGCTTTTATGTCACAGATTGCAAATCAACAAGTGCTTTGGTAAGACTTGAAATGATTTTCATTAGCAACTACATCAAGCAATAAACATCACATGGAAGCCACACCCCCAAAATGCATTGGTGAAAAAATCTTCTTTGTTGTGGGGTAAAAAAAAGGAGAGAGAGAAAGAATGAAAAAAATATAAGAGGAAGCAACCCAATTGTAGAGCAAGTGGGCTATGACTTTACCTGCAATCTTGTTCTTTTTGGAGGAAAAACATGGTATATCTTTTTAACTGTTTCAAGTAACAGAGCAAAAGTACACCAAGTACAATTAATTTTTTAATTTGAAAGAAAAACAGTTATCAGTGGCCAGTTTCTCATGTGCTCAGGCCAAACACCTTTAAAGCATTGAAGGTTGTTTGGAGAGCTACCTGCTCTGATTTCTTCTTCATATAAGCTGCAATCATCTCAATAGTTACTGGCAGAGAGCAAGGTTCGTTGCGTTGGAAGGTGCAGTATCGGTGAAGAAACGTCAAAGATCTGGGGGAAAAAAAATGAAGACAGTGATTAGAGGAAAGCTAATCATGAGGATCTACAGTCACTCCTAGTATGAAAATCAATGCAGGATCCTAGTATATATTTTGTGCTATACAAATCTGAAATTATATTGATTTGATATAGAATAATAGAAAATCAACAAACTGAACCCATAGAAGATGAGGTGCCTAAACCTCTGTGTGTACACACAGCTGGCTTACTACAATCAGTGGTCATTTGTGATACTGTGTAAGGCTAATTGAAGCACTTTTAGCCATGTATCTATGTTCTTGCAATCTTTATTCATGAAAGTATGAAAAAATAAGTGCATACATTATAAACCAGTTCCTTACCTTTCCGTGAGTGCCTCTTTGACATATGGAGGTAACTTGGAGGCACGGGTATTGGGGTACATGAATGGCGAATCAGTTTCAACAAGGAGTCTGTCCAGTGGGACTACTCCATCCTCTAAAATTCTCCTTACACCATCCTCAGATTTGTCTTTCCATACATAGCCTACAAGGATATATGAAAAATAAAAAATAAGAAGAAAAAAGAAAAGTACACAAAGAGGAAAATCAATGTTCAGATATTATATTACAATTCAAGTTTAAACTTCTACAGTTCAACATTCCCATGGAAATTTGATATCTCTACTTTGCAGATTACCAGAGAAAGCCTCCTACCTGTAAGACCAATGTAACATCCTTCTTTGAGGTAGGCAGCTGCTTGTGTGGCATCCCCTGTGAAGCAGTGAATCACTACAGGAGGAAGACGTGCTTTGTATTTCCCCAACACCTCCAGTACCTCTTTATGGGCATCTCTTTCGTGTACAAAAAGTGGTTTTCTCAACTCGCATGCTAGGGAGACCTGTAGAGAGAAAGGATACACAGATGTGGATGTAGTCTTCCTGTGGAAAATTCACAATAGAGTAATAACTGAACCTACTGATGATGGGTGGCATATATGTACATGCCACAGAGCAACTGGACTGCTTTTCAGGTGATATGTATACCCATGCCACACAGGCCTCTCAAAGTTATGCGTGTTAAACAATTGTTTACTTGTTTAGCCAATATTGCAGTGATTTAGGAGCTACAGCTACTCAAAAATAGCCATACAGTGACTTTTTAGCCTATCCACTGAACAATGGCCTGTGAATATAGAATACATGTGATGAACTCTTACATAGCATATATACTGGGGTTTTTTTACGGGTTAATATTCTCATTTCTGTTACATAGCCTTTAGGATTTTTGTTTACTTTTAATTAAATAGTCACCCATTATGTCACTCAATTCTTTGTTTTTACTACATGTAGTTTGTGTTTTCAATGGTGATCTGTTTATCACCTTTTAATAATGGATTCACAACAAAGAAGCTTTTTTCCACCAAATACTGCTTCATACAGCTTCTACAGCATAATTCTAGAACAGTCAGCACTATTCTTCTAAAACATTTTTGTATTGGATCTTTCATGTAAAGTCCACATCCACTGCCCAACTCTGTAAACATTCTTATGTAAAAGAAGTCTTCTTACAATAATCTCTGGATCAACACAAAAATTTATAAAGAAAATCTTTTTGTGAGTCTGCTGCCTATTGGTCCAAGATGGTCAGTTGATAGGTAGATGCCATGAAGTCCCATTTCAAGATCATATTTCATTCACTGTCAGAGAAAAAACTCAAACACGATGGAGTCTTCTAAAGTTTTCATCCTATTTAGGCCTTTTGGACACATAAGATTATACAATTTTATGTCTCAGGTACTTTTCCCATATTTCCATTTTATATGTTTTTGTGACCATCTTTGTCTAAGCTAGATAACTGAGATGTTTCGGAAGATGATCTTTTTGTGATGCATAACATTTTAGGCCTCTAAAATACATCAAATTTCCATAGATTTATATTGTTTGTCTTCATAAATTACTTGGCAAGCAGACTGATAATTACTTAATCAATATTACTACAATACCTCTTGAATCTCAGGAAGAGATCCAATCTCAGGGCAGCTATTGCCAGTTACATTTTCAACAACAATCTTAATATGAAACTATAACAAAATAGCCACAGCAGTTGTCTATTCAAGTACTTTTAAATCTGAGGACAAGTTATTCCTTTCCTTCCAAAATTTGTCAGTGTCATTCACAATGAAGTGTCTTCACAATAGCTGTCTCTGATGCTTCAGGGACATCAAAAATCTTTAAATATTTGAAGGTATGAAGTGATACAACATAAAACAAACTTCTAACTGATACTGTATCTTAATTTCTTGCCATATACACAGAAGGCAAAGCACTTTTTGTTGTACTTAAGACTCATCTATCACTGCAGACAAAGGGCTTAGCACATCTATAATTCTTTCCTTGATTGCTCTTTCATCAAAATTTCAGGGCAGGGGAGGCTGCTACATACATCTGGATCCTTATTTTTAAGCATCCAATAAAATGTCTCCTAATGGATGAGATCTTGTCTTATTTCCTTGCATCCTAATTCTCATAGTTAAGATCAAGATGTGAAAACTGCATAACATTCAGAATGAAATGAATTAAAACATTGTAAGATCAATGAATGACACATTTGTGAGTGAAATTCAAGAATAACGACTATGAAAAATGATAACAGTGTGGCTTCTAATTCAGAACAAGAGGCAGCTGAATCAAAGAAAATGGTCAGCCCAAAGTTTTTAAAGGAAAAATGTTATCTTTTGAGTAATGTTTTATAAGTGAATGCAATGTATAATGTTTATATAAGGAATCCAATGCAATTTTTAGTTTTGTTTTTGAATTGCCATCTTCCCATTCTCTTGAATCATTTTCTTTTGTAAGAAGTTTGTCTTAACAAATAAATGCTGGCAAAAAAAAAAATTAAAAAGTTTGTCTGTTTTCTAGAACAGACAGAAATTAGCCATAAGTTCTACCTGGGCTAACTAGAGTGGCCTGATTTTCAAAGAATGTGAAATTCTTTTCAACCATTCAGAAAAGATTTCTCTAAAGTTTCTTTCAAAAGTGAGCCTCATGTAGTCTAATCAACTTTTTCCAATACATTTTCTGCAGTACCTGAAATCCAACACATGCATAATCTTTTGCTCATCTAGAGCACTGAGGCATGAAAACTCATTTATCAATTACTTTTGCCTCTGTAATGAGGTAATCTCCCTTGTTCCCCAAAGTGTTCACCTGTTTGGAAGTAAGTATACTTTCCTAAGGAAGAAGTCACTGTCCCCCCCAAAAATAACACTCCACTAAAGTTATTTATATAGTAGTTTATATATAAATTGACCAACCTGCTTTTCAAAGACCTCAAGCTGGACATCTTGAGGAGAGAAGTTTCGATTGAAGTCCAGTCCGCACTCACCTATGGCTACCACCTCTTGGTTGGCAGCCAATTCTCGTAGAGCCTCTTCTGTTTCGTCATCCCAAGTTTTCGCTTCATGTGGGTGTACTCCTGCAGTGGAAAAAATATTGCCATAATGCTCCAGCTTGAAAGTCCTTTTCAGTTTTATAGTAATAAGATCAGGTCTACAAACTTTCTTTTATATCTATGAGAGAAAATCTAAACTTATCCAATAAAAAATTTGTATACACTGATACTGAAATTAAATATTAAAGCACCTGCAGTTGAGTATAATGTTTCTGGGAAGAGGCGGGTTAGGCGTAGTGCTTCCTTGCTGCTCTGTACTGTAATGCCCGTTACCATGATCTTGTGAACTCCTGTAAGGAAAAGATTTGATTTTCACTGAGAAAGCATACAATGAAAGAAAATAGTGGAAATGAAAACAATTAGAGAAATCAAAGAGTAGACAAAACAGAGAGTACACAAAGATAAACAAAAACAGACAGACAATAGAAAGTTTTGAATATTAAGAAGAGCACAGTGAGAGGGCACAGAATACCATGTCATAGGCATAAACAAACAAATGAGAATTAAGATCAGAGGGGAAGGTGAAAACAAAGGGAAACTGGAAAAAAAAGAACATTCAACTTCA